GGGCTGGGCTCCCCGCAGTGGACACCCGCTCCCCTTCCTCTGGCAGAGAAGGCAAAGAAGGATGGCTCTGAGTGCGAGGACTGGCGCTGGGGACCCTGTGTCCCCAACAGCAAGGACTGTGGCCTGGGCTACCGCGAGGGCACCTGCAAGGATGAGAGCAAGAAGCTCAAGTGCAAGATCCCCTGCAACTGGAAGAAGAAGTTTGGAGGTGGGTGCGTGGCGGTGGGGTGGCTGGGGAGCACCCTGGGTTGGGTGCTGTACTGGCTCTGACACCTCTCCCCTCTCTTCCAGCTGACTGCAAGTACAAATTTGAGAGCTGGGGGGGGTGCAGTGCTCAGACGGGTGTGAAGACTCGCTCTGGCATCCTGAAGAAAGCCCTGTACAATGCCCAGTGTGAGGAGATTGTCTATGTGACCAAGCCCTGCTCTTCCAAGATCAAGTCAAAGTCCAAAGGTCAGTCCCTGCCACTCCTGTCCCCAGAAGGGTCCTGCTGGGAGCCCAGACAGGAGCTCTTCAGGGGTAGATGGGCCTGTTGGGGTTGGGTTTTGGTGGTGGTGGTGGTGTGGGGGATCACATAGGATGCTGTTCTCTCTGTGCCATCACATGAACAGCCTCAAAGTCCAGCTGCTAGCAAAACCCCTGGTCCTCCCCTACATCACCACCAGCTTTGGTGGGCTGGACATTTCCCTCTCCCCTCTGTGGGGCTGGTGCAAAACGTGGCTTTGCTTGGAGGGGGGAGGCTGTGCCGTGCTGAGCTGGCTGCAGGATTGCTGAGCTGCCAGGCAGGCACACTAACTCTTGTCTCTTGTGCTTCTTGCATGCAGCAAAGAAGGGCAAGGGGAAGGACTAGTGTGGGAAGCCAACACCCTCACGGGCCCCTCGACGTGGTGCCTGCAGGGCTGGACACCCAGCTGCATCCAGCCCACGCTCCAAGTCTTCCTCCTTCTCTCCTTCCTGTGACTCCTCTTTCACTGAGTTGCCTTGTTTTCATTGCTAGTTTTGTGAAGAGCCCCTGCAGGAGGGGCTGCCCCCCCCTCCCTGCTGCCCCCCCACCACTGCCAGTGCACCCCACTCCGACTCCTCTCGGCGAGTGTCTGGGTTCACTGGGAAGCACCTGGAGGGCTGGGATGGGACCACAGCCTTTCCCACTTTCTGCTGCAGATGAGTTGCCTTTAAGGCCTCCTTTGGCTACCCCGGGAGCTGGAGGGAAGGGGTGGGTGCTTGAGGAACCCCATCACTCCTGCTCCTTTCTCACGTGAGGACTGCTCTCAGCTTGGGGGGGAGCTTCATCCAGCATCCCTTTGGCCAGGGTGCAGCTTCCCTGCAGCTGCTGGGGAAAAAACTAAGCCACTGCCCCCAGGAACCACTGCATCCCCTCTTCTCCATCACTCCTAACCATGTGTGTGTCCAAGCCAAGGCTGAAGCCCTTCCACCTTCAACACGCCCACGCTGGTGCTTGGGTGGGAGCTCTCACTTCTTTTGGAAAATGGGGTTCATTTTCTTTTCTAATAAAAACCTTCTAAAAATAAATTATTGGAACCCACCTGTCCTCCTTGCAAGCTGGCAACCCCAGTAAACCTCAACTTTGCTTCAGGGGGACCTGCAGTGAAGCCACCGTGGAGCTGGCAGCAGGGGCATGAGTGGCACATGCACGAGGTCCTGGAGAAGGTCGAGCTGCCCCCCTTGCATCCATCTTTCCAGAGGGGATGGGGCTGCCACCTTCATGCTGCAGGCAGGGCCACCAGTGGGTCACACTGGGAAGCTGGGGAGGAGCCACCAGGTGACGACTCATTCACTCCTCATGCCATGGCCATTGGTTTCTGGTCTTTATTTGGGTGGGCTGGGCTGTGGTTGTAACAGTTTAAAAAAAAAACCTTAATCAAAAGCCTGCCAGGCATTTTGGGCACTGCTATGTCAATTATCCTAAAGGCAGTGGTTGGTGGGGCAGGGGGGCATCTGGGTGGGGGCAGCCTTTCTCCAGGTGGCACAGCATCAGCCCAGCATGGGGATGGGGAGAACATAGAGATGTGGCCCCATCCCTTCTGTCACCTGCACCCAGCTGTGTCCACCAAGGCTTGCAGGAACCTGGCTTTGGGAGAAGCTGGGGAGCAGCCTCAGCGTGGTCTGGGCTGCAAACACAGTAGGGCTGGGAGAGGGCTGGAGGTGCTGGCTGAAGCCCACATGCTGAGAACTTCACCACATCACCACCAGCAGGGTTACATCCATTCACAAAGCTCAGCAGCTGCCTCCTTCAGCCCCCCCCTGGGGCATCCCCCTGCACCTGGGGCCACTGCTGTCCCCTCCTGCCCCCAGAGCCACACATCAGGCCTCCCACACCCTCCGTGGGGACAGCATGGACCCAGATGAGACACAGGACACCTCACACCTCAGACCCTCTTCCCGACCCCCTCCAGGACTCCCAGTTTCCCCCATCCCTCCCAAGGACAGTTATTTCCACTGTTGTTGCTGCCTGCTTCTCAGGGGCCACGTTCCCCTGGGCCCGTGGAGAGAAGTCCTGCACCACACCACAGCTTTTCTTTGCAGTTTTAGTTTCCATCATTGTAGGAGTCAACTGGGTTTCACACTCCTCACCCAGGACTGAGATGCTTGGTTGGTCGGTCTGTCTGTCCAGCCAACTGTTGGCCAAGGGCTGAAAGGGCATGAAAGGTAAGTGGAGCCAAAGCCCAAGGAAAAATTCCCCTCCTTGGTTCTTGGGTGAGGTGTCTCTCAAGGGAAAGGTAGGAACTTGCCACATATGCTTGGGTGCAACCTGGACTGCCCCAGGAGGGGGCCTGGCTGGGCCAGCAAGACTCCCCATGAGTATGCCTAAACCAGCCTGGTCCAAGAGGGCCAGCAAACGTTTGGCACGGGATTCTTTTCATTTCTTGGGTCATAGATGGTTTAAAAGCCTGTTGAAAGCATCCAGTGTTAGGCTGTCTGCATGCAGACAAGCACTGATGCTCTGGAGACAGCCAAGGAGAGAAGAGGCATCCAGTCTTCGGACAAACACTGATGCCATTTGGCCAGCCTCTTGAGCAGGGAGCTGGGGAGGGCTCCTGGTGGCCACATCACCTCCTCTTTGCCTCCAGCTTGCCTGCTGGCTTTAAGAGCCACAGCTCAGAGGTGCCTTGGCCCTTTGTCAGTGTTGGATGAAGGGCATCCTCTGCGATCACTGCACAGTCTACACCGTCGTGAGCGAGGAGCAGAGGACCCTCCCTGGCAAAGGAGGCCGAGGGAAGGGCTTCCATTGGTGGAACAGTCCCTGAGGGCCACTTTATCTGGCCGTGCCAATGTTCCTGTACTGGCACATGAGAAGGTGCTTGAAGGTCTTCTTGAAAGTGGCATTGCAGAGGGCGTAGCAGGCGGGGTTGATGGTGCTGTTGACGTAGCAGAGCCAGTAGCCGATGGACCACACGGTCTCGGGCACGCAGGTCTCGCAGAAGGTGTTGATGAGGACCATGACGTTGTAAGGAGTCCAGGTGAGTATGAAGGCCAGCAGGATGGCAAATATGGTGCGGGTGACCTTCTTCTCCCGGGCAGCCATCTGGCGCTTCTTCCTCACTTGGCTCCTGGCGATGCTGGCAAACTTCCTGGCCACGTTGGCCGGGCGGCTGTTGGCCAAGGAGTTGTGGTCAGAGGCTCCTGCTTTAGCTGGGACGATCTCGATGGCGGTGACGCACTCGGTCCCCGTCTGCTTGGTGACGATCTTAATCTTGGACCACTTGGAAGAAGGGTTCACCCGGGGGTGGGCTGGGCTCTGGCCTTGCCCCGCCGGCAAGGTTTCTGCCGTGGGCTTGTCTTTTGTGGTCTGGGTCATGCTGACAGTGCTGGACTCGTTGGAGGTCTCCTTCTCCTCCTGATGGCCGGTGGCCTCTGTCTGTGCTGAGGGTTGGTCGTCCAGTTTGCCGTTCCTCACCTCCTCCTTCACCTCCACAGCCCTCTTGGGGGAGTTATTGTTGTTCTGTTTGACCAGGGGGCCCTTGAAGAACCTGAGGGACTTGGTTTTCCTCTCTTTCCTGCTTTCAGGCTTGTGCCTCCTCACCCTGCTCCTGCTGGCCAGGGAGATGTGGATGTACAGCACTGTCATGATGACCACGGGCAGGTAGAAAGCAGCAATGGCCGTGCCGAAGGTCACTGCCGGGTTGGAGAGGAACTGGATGTAGCATTCCCCCTCAGGGACTGTCCTCTTGCCCACAATGAACTGCCAGAACAAGATGGCAGGGGCCCAGAGAACGAAGGACAATATCCACGCGGCCGCGATCATTAGCCCCGCCATCTTGGTGGTCCTTCTGGCCGGGTAGGTCAGAGGCTTGGTGACACAGAAGTACCGGTCAAAGCTGATGATGAGCAAGTTCATGACAGAGGCGTTGCTCACCACGTAGTCCAGGGCCAGCCACAGGTCACACACCACGGCCCCCAGCGGCCAGTAGCCTTTGATGATGTAGACCGTGTAGAGGTTCATGGAGAAGACCCCGATGATGAGGTCCGCGCAGGCCAAGCTGAAGAGGAAGTAGTTGTTGACGGTCTGGAGCTGGCGGTTCACCTTGATGGACAGCATCACCAGGATGTTTCCCACCACGGTGACGAGACTGAGTGACCCGGTGACTGTGGCAATGAACACCAGCTCCACCATCTTGTAGCTGGTGGGAGGCTGGATGGCCACCTCGGAGCGGTTGCCCAGGGTGAAGTTGTCGTACGTCAGGTTGGCCATCTTTGCCTGCCAGGGCTGAGCAGAGAGGTTGTGCATGGGCTCTGCAAAGGGGAGAAGGGACAGAAAGGGACAATGTCATACCCGCCAGCCAGTGTTGGCAGCATCTGCTGCCTCCTCACGTTCCCAGGCTAGCGCTGCTCTCGGAGAATCTCCTGGCATCACTGGGTTTCTCCCTTCCACCACAGCCTTCCCCCAGGAGCTCTTCAAAAGGGCTTTTTTGTGTCCTCATTTAGCAATGGAGGAGACAGGGCTGCAGGGAGAGTAAGGACAGGGAGGGAGAGAGCCCTTTGCCCAGGGTGCAATGGCCCCTTCTCTGCAGGGCCAGGGGCCACCTCCCAGCAGGAGCACAGCCCTGGGGTGCCCCAGGTTTGTGGTATGCTCCAGGCATGACCCACTGGCCTCCCCAAAGCTCCTCCCCAGGAGGGGATAATCCCACAAGGTCCATGCCACGTTCTACTCAGCTCACCTGTGTCTCTGGCAGCAAACGGCTCCTTCTGGAAGATGAAATCTGGGGTGGGAAAAGCAGCAAGTTACACCACAGCTTCAGCCCCAAGGAGTTCATGTGAATCCCACAACATTTTACTGGGGGGCACCAACCTTGGAACCCAGGTGGCCTTGACAAAGGGTTGATGCTGCTCAGAGGCAGATGCTGAAAACCCAAGCAAGGCTAAAACCAGGTAATTTAGCTTGGCCTGATTCACAGCCCAGCCCCAAAAGATGCAGGAGAGGGAAAAAGCCACACGAGTGTCATCAGCCAGAGAGGCTGGGAAATTCTGGCCCCCTTCCCCCAGCTGCAACCCCACCAGCCATGAAGATGTATGGGATGAAGCCAGCCTTTGAGGTCAGTTTGGCTTTTTTTTTGGCTTTTGGGGTCAGTTAGGCTTTGAGATCCGTTTGTATTTGTAGTTTTTTGGAAGAAACACCCTTGCCTTTCATTCATGTGAGTACAGGAGATACCTGCCACCATTAAGCAGCTAAGGTTTTAATACAACTGCTGTTTGGAGAGGTTCAGGTGTGGGAAAACAGAAGCCTGGCAGCTGAAGTGCTGAAGCCAGGGCACCAATGTAGCCATTGAGACAATTTGGTGGACACCAAATTTTCCATACTGATGGGGAGAGGAAGCCTGGTGGCACTGCCCAGCTTTCCACCCAGCTCCAAGCACAGGGGATGAGAGGGAAAGCTTGTTCTGCTGCCATCCTTCCTGGGCACCCAGCCAGGGATGTGAGGAGAGGTGATAAGTGTATAAAATGGCTTAGCAATACATAATCGTGGCAGTTTGGGGGTTGGTTTCAGTACAATTGAAATGAGTTTTAAATTCCTCGCTTTAGTGAGATGAAGGAGATTTAGCTGTCATCCTTGTAACAGCTAATCAAACCCATCAGACAAGCTAGCAATCAAACAGACATCTACCCCAGCTCTTCCAGGAGGAACTGGAAAATCTGGAAAAGAAACCTTTCCTTCATCTCTGCTAAAATGAGGCTTTCAGGGTTGGGGGTTTTTTTTTCACTTTAGTTCGTGAACCCACATCCCCTTTTTGGTGCATTTGATTAATGATCAGCCTTGTTGTGGTCTGTGCTGCCTGAAGGAAGACCAGTCCATCTCTTCCCTCTCCACAAGGCTGCCTGTGGAGGGCAGGAGAAGTGGAGGAGGGCAAGTTGGATCCACCCAGAGGTCTCGCTGCAAACTGGGGTGCTGGGATGGGCGAGTGCAGCCGTGGGCTGGAGGGCTGCAAAGGGTGCTCTGAAAACAAGCCCTCACTGAGGGGCAGGAATAAAGCAATCTGCCTTTTGGGGGTAGGAGGGGCAATGAAAACGGTGGAGAGTGTGAGGATACGTGCAACATGTACAAGCCTGCAGGTGTGGACACCTCAGGCATCACCCTGACTGTTTTCTGCCCTGCCCCAGCCTGCTGGGCATCCCTTCTTTCCCTCCCCCATCTCTCCAGCCTTCCATCTCTCTCTTCTGCCACTGGCACCCTCTCTGAGCTCACCAGGAGTGCCTTTGCCTTCCCAGGCAGGGCAGGCAGCAATATCCAGAGCTGGGAGCTCCAGCCAGAGGTGGGAGCAGGCCACAGGTGCTGTGAGTTTGCCAGGTCTCAGTGCAGCTGACCGAGCCGTGCATTGTGCTACATGGGCACAGGGGCTAGATCCTGCTCATTGGCTTCAGGATGGTGAAATGCTGGGGTCTGAACCCCGAGCCCCAAATTAAGGTTGACATATGTGTGACTCCCACAGCCCTTCATACAGAGGGGGTGAGTTTGCCTTAGAGCTTCCTGCAGGGAGAGCCAGAAGGGAAATGAGCCCCAGGGGTCCCGCACTGAGTTGACAAAGGTCAGGGGTCTGCTGGGGGATAAAAGCTGGGACCACTG